ATTAAATTACTAAAAAACTGTATGGTAACATTAACACAATGTAAAGGTTAATAACAGTGGCGGCTGGTGAATAACTTTTTGGGTGGTCTTTTAGATGTTAGATGTGCTAGCCACGTATCACCACTAGGGGATGCCAAATTACCATTGTAATGATATAATCCATGTTTTCTACCTCAAAGACACAAGGGCTGAAAAAAGCTAAATTCACATCTTGAGAAAACACACAGTAGCAACAATGCAACATGTTGATGTAAACATCATTTGGTTGAATTTTCATGTTTTTATTTTATTTTATTTTGTGATTCCAATCTTCTTCCTCTTCCTGTGAGACTGGTGGGGCAGCGCCCTAGCTCCCCCTATGAACGAGCCACCACTGCTTAATAGATTTAAACCCATTTAAAATTCCAGGTACAAGAGAGTGAAAACCGTCACAGAACGTACGGAAAACTTCCTTACCAATGCCATTTGGCCTTTCTCACAATCACCCACAGACCACTTTAGCCTTAATGACTCAAATTCGAAACCAAGGCATATGATGGTATTCACTCAAAAGGTTATCCGTTTAACCCTGAACTGATTTCAACTGGTGGGTTAGTGTTTGATCACACCCAAAAAGGCTATGGACATTGCTTCAAAACCACAGTCCTACAGTGAGTGAAGCTCAAGAGGCTGGACCGCTGAAAATGTGCTTATTTATCTCCTCACCAGGTCAAAAACAGGCCCATATACGCTGCCGTTCAACCCCAAAACTAATCTTCTCACAGTTGATGATAGAACATGTTACTCACATTACCCTCTTTTACCATTGGTGCATTGAATCAATTTTAGCGCTGTCAGGAATGTCAGCTCCCTGGTAGAATCAGATCCATGCTGAGCTCTTCTCCAGAGGAGGGTCGTGAGGAAGAGTTTGCTTGATAGACTTATTAAGAGATAATCATAGTGGGTCAAAGAAACGTCACGGTGTCGTTCTAAAAGTGGTACACTGTTAAAAATCCAACTTGCAATTTGTTTGGAGAGTTTAAAGTTTTAAGTCAGTTGAACGTTTTAACTTGCAAAATGTTAAGTTAATACAGAAAAGAAAGCACCTAAAAAGTTGACTGAACTTAAAATTGTATTGCGACTGGTTGCTTTACTTTTTTAAGTTCACTGGACTTTTTTTTACAGTGTATGACTCATCAACTTCCCTTTCTGGATCACCTTTTGTCATAAAAGTAAATAAAAGTATGCAAGCAGCATTCACTAATTAAACTTCTGCTGACTCAGGCTGTGTTAAAGGTTTCATCGAATGGTCTGGCATTTTGGTTTTGTTTGATTGCACATTTAAAAAAAAAGACCAGGTGTTCTGGGTCTTTTTGTTTCTGCAGAAACTCCAGCATCTGAACTTCCAACACCTTGTCAAGTTGACTCCAAAACTGTTTAGATAAATGATATTCGAGTTACCACTGCAATAGAAATAAACACACACACACACACACACACACACACACACACACACACACACACACACACACACTGTTCAGCGGTGATGCAACCAAACCCAACAAGAATTGGGTAATATATCTTTCTGTAAAGGTGTGTTTGTGTTTTTTCCGGCGTCTGCTGCCGTTGTCTGCAGCTCCGCTGTCTCAGACAAACTAAACACTCCTGTCACTCAGCGCCGAGTTTACTCAGCTATTTTCTGACGTTGAAGCCCAGAAACGGAGATTTTAACCGCTCAGTAATGTGTTCACGACTGAAAGAGAAAGTTTTCCAACTAACTTCCAGACAGAGCTGATATAACTCCAGCGAACAGCGATACGCTCAAACCAGCACGACTGTGTGGCTGCTGTAGTTTTTATTTTTCCTCCCCGACACACAACAACATGGTCAAGCTGCTCAGACGCTCTCCATGTTCACCAACACAAACCTATGTGAGCACCTGTTGTCATCTAATGTTGTCATTATAATGATGAAGATGAACAAAACAACAGGAGTCTCCTCCTCAGCTCAGATCAACCCCATGATGCAGGAATCTGGCTGGAACAGGTGAGCATCACAGTAAACCAGTGGAGCAAACTGAGCTATAAATATTTTGTTTTTTTTGCTCCAAAACATGAAAGTTAACAGGTGAGATGTTGCATTTTCATTTAAGATAAAATTATATTTTTATTTTGTTGTTGGCCGGTGAGAAAAGATTTAACCTACAGTAAACAGGAAGTGGAAAGGCTGCAGATAGATGAATAGAATAGAAAATCCCTTTATTGTTCCTCAGTGGGGAAAGCTAGACGTCACAGCAGCGATGACGCGTATTACAGGAGAAAAAAAAGAGAATAAAAAGAGAAAAATGAATAAACAACAAGAATAAATATATCCTGAATAGATTTTAAAAATGCTGAAAATACTTGCTCGTGTGTAATTTGGTTATTCCACATTCAGTGTTAATGCAAAAACAAGTTTGTTTCCAAATTAAAACGTTCAAAATTGCATATATGTTGATAAAGAAAATGTGCAAATTTGCCATCACTTTTTCAAAAAATATTAAGTTTGGCCCTCGACTCCGTCCCAGAGTTTCATTTCGGCCCCGTGTGAATTTGAGTTTGACACCCCTGGTCTACATGGTCAAACTCCTCCCTATATTACTGAACTGTTAAAGCCTTATGCTCCAAACCGAGCCCTCAGGTCCACACACCAGAACCTTCTAGAAGTTCCAAAGACCAGATACAAAAGTCAAGATGATCGCTCCTTCCAGACTGTTGCACCCCAACTCTGGAATGATTGTCCTTTATCCTTACGTAGCATTAACACTCTGGGCACTTGTAAAAAACAGCTAAAAGACCTTTTTATGCTGCATTTACCTAAATCTTTTATTTTCATCTGTTTATGAAATTTTATAATTTTATGACATTATTTTTTCTGATGTTAATCTATTTCTGTTTTGAGATCATTATGATTTTATGACTTTGTTTTATTTTGTTTTGATGTATGTGAAGCACGTTGTGATTCTATGTAAGTGATAAGTGCTATATAAATAAAAATGTACTTAATTTACTTAGTGTCCGTCATACATTCACTGTGGTTAAATAGAGAATGAAACGTATCTCCTCGCTGTGCGAACGTCTTTCTAACATCGTAATCTAACTCCTGAAACGTCTCCTCAACCTTCATTAGTTTCTACAGGAGTGATTCATCACTACATCAAACAAATCAGCTGTGTTCACGATCTAAACATGCAGGAAACATGCAGGAAGCAGACACCAGCTCCTCCAGCTCCAGTTCACTCCACAGCTCCCAGACTGGCAACTCTGAATTTGCAAGTGCGATATTCTGGCCACATGGGCGGTGGGGTCTGAGTGAAATTTCGTTAACCCAATAAAGAAGGCTCATTTTAGAACATCCTGGCTCAAGAAAATGATTTAAATTTTGAAAAAGTTGCGTAGTATCCCTTTAAAAACTTGTAAGAGTTGACAGACCTTTAAAGCCTCTAATTGTTCTTCTCAATTCACCAATATTTCCATGTTAGCACAAATTTTGCATTTTTGACCCAAGTGTGTGCTATAAATGAAAGTATCAGGTTACAAAAAATCAGCCAGTCGAGGAAAGTTTATACTTGCAGAAAAAAAAATATTCATTGTGCTCTACTGGCTGGTGACTAGCTGGGGATACTAAACTTTACAAAAACCATGCAAATGTTACGTTGGAGTCACTCTAAATGGGAGCTTTGAAATACTATCAGTTTGATCTATGTAGAGGATACTATAGACGGTTGTAAGACAATAAACTAACCAGTTTCATGTCCCAAACATCTACAACTGTCCACGTTCTCCAAACACAACTAAAACCACAATCAAGCAGTCCAGATGGGAAACAAGGCCATTTTAAATTGTAATAAATTAAGAAACAATGATATTTGAACTTTATTTTAGAAGAGCATCTGACCTTCACTGGTGTCTGCTGGAAAAATAAAACTTGAACAAATTTAGTTGAGGACCCCTGAAATAAATAAAACAATTGACTACATTTAAAATGTTGACTACTTAAAATGTTGAAGCTGCTGTTTCTATGATGTTCCAAGTCAGACATTTTAGAAACTGCTTGTGTGAATGTATAGAACTGTTTCTACTAGAGCCCCATACAAACTTTGTCATGCTCTGTGTACCTTTGGTCCCCAGCCCCCTTCAGGTGTCCCCTTATGTTCTGTATCCTTGTAGTCCCCGGCCCTTTTTGTCCCCAGCTCCTTCCAGGTTTTCCTCATGTTCTCTTAATCTCTCCTCTGAAGTTTTCTATAGGTTTATGATTTCAGTTCTTTACTCTCCTTTAGTGTGTGTGCTCCCTTCCCCACTTCAGATCATTCGGTTACTTATTAGTTTCACCTGTGCCCAGCTCCCCACGCACCTGCTCCTCGTCTCCTATCACCCAGCCCTGTGTATATAACCCTGTCTGTGTCGCTAGTGTTTCTCGGTCCATTGTCTTTCGTCAGCGTTTTTTTTGTCCCTTCTCTAGTAACTACAGATTCTGGCTCATGAGTGAGCTTTCGTTTTCGACTTTTTGAACTTTAGAATTTTGGCTTAGAGTCCTGCAGTTTAGTTTTTTTGAGTTTATCATCCTAATAAAAGGATTTTTTTTAATTTATACAACCTCTACAGCCTTGAGTTGTGTGGTGCTCTGCGTTTTGGGTCCAATCCCCCTGCGCTCGCAGCATGACAAACTTCTACATTTACCGATCTGGCATAAATGACCAACTAACTAGATTAGGTTTTGTTTTTCTTTTAAGACAATGTGGAAGGAGAACTGCCAGAAACCAAATATTCATCCAAAGATCTCATCAATAATCAATGTAAGCTCAGCCAAAACTACATTTATTATTACCCACTGAGCGAGAAGGTCGAATAAACTGCAACAAAACCAAAGAGAAGCGTCATCTCTAGTGGACAAACCATAGCTGGGTTTTGATGGGTGTGTTGGACGTTAGAATGGACATTTGGCCTCACCAGCTGTCAGAGCACTGGTGTGTAAAAGGATATGGGTTACAGACCATTCGAAGACACCAGTTGCGAGGCCTCGTCGTTTGTTTTAGGCAAAAGAAGACTAGCGGAGCCAGGGCTGGGTACGGCTGCTGCTCCTCCTCGTCGGAGACACAGTCCGGGTCATGAATAGGAGCTGTGATCCGAACTCCTAGCGTGGGTCCAGCGTCCACCTCCAGCTCTGGTTCCTGCTCCACACCTTCCTGAACTTCACCACTCCATTGGTCTCCATCTCTATAGATTCTCTGTCCTTTATTTTCCACCTCCTCTTCCTTCTCCTCCTTCTCCTCATCCTGACATCCTCCTGGGTCAACATCGTGCTGACCTGGGGACTTCTCGCTCCTGTGGGCGGTCCGTACAGAAAGCCTCACGTCGCCTTGCTCCTCCCCTCGCTCTTGGCGCTCTTCGTACTGAAAGCGGACTCTCCCCTCGCCATCAGTCATGATAGAGCATCAGGCAGAGCCACTCTGAGGGGAGGTCAGAGGAAGAGGTGGGTGGTGTAGAGAGAAAGGACATGCAGGTGGGGGTGGGTGGGGGGGGATCATCAGGAAAGAAGATAAAACCAAGATCAATCAGTTTCTGGCACAAATTCTAACAACTAAATGAATAAATATCTCACGACACAGAGATTTTTCAGGTAGTAGTATAAAATGATGACATCACCGATGCACAAATGACAGCGAGACGACTGTATGGTGACAGTGGTGCCGAATTCATTCTACAGGGACTTTTGGCGTTTACAGAGTTTTGGGTTTTTGTAATTTAAAGATCAGCAGGTAAGTTTCAATAACCAAGAACCCAGAGTAAATCTAAAATACATGTTTAAGTCATGAGCCATCCATCCATCATCATTTGCTTATTGGGGGTCGGCTCACGTGGGCAGTAGCCTAAGCAGTGAGGCCCAGACTCTCCCCAGCTCCTCCGGTGGACTCTAAGGCTTTCCCAGACAAGAAACACAGTCCCTCCATCAGGTCCTGGGTCTTCTTGGTCTCCCGGTTGGATGTGCATGGAAAACCTCACCAGAGAGGCATCCCAGATGACCGAGCTTCTCACCCTATTTCACACCCTCATATCTGCAATCTCATTCTTGTGCATGTTTTAGGAGAACGAAGCAACCTAAAACAACTTGATTCTATGTGAGGGAGAAAACCCGACGTGTAACCTTCATAACTGGCTCTAAAACTCAACAGCAGTCGGGGCTTTGTGCTAACTCTCTTTATGGACTCTCTTTATGTAATCCAGCCACATTGGAGGGTCGCCAGCATGAACGGCCTGTTTAAGGTCAAAGGTCAGACGTGATCCTGTAAAGGATTTTTTAAATAAAGATCAGAATTCACGGTTACACCAATCACAGCGAGTGGTCCATGTCCTTATGCAGCCGTAGACGCCGCCATGTCTGACTTTGGTGTTCTGAGATGTAACGACGCAGCGGTTTTGATCTCATCGGTCCATGGAACATGTCCCAGAAGTTTCGGAGGTTGTGCTAAATGTTTTGGTAGATGGTAGACGGGTCTTTGTGATGCTTCCTTTTTTTTTTTTTTTTTTGCCTCAATTAACAAGAAGGTCGATAACTTTTTAAAATAGAACCATTTGAATAGCTTTTGCTCCTTTACCCTAAAAAAATACGATTTGAAAACTCCATCTAGTATTCACTCGGATTTTCTTCCATTCTGGAATTCTTTTGCTGATCTGAAACATTTAAATGTGACAAAAAAGACAAACTAAATCGAGGCTAAACATGTAGGATGTAGACAGAATGGAGCTTTTCCCATGCCTTCCTGTCTCTTCCTGTTGCTATGTGATGGAACAGATGGACCACTCTGTCTCTGGTCTACTGAAGGTCTTTAGCCCACACTATTCCACGGTGGGCACGCAGCGTAAATGCGCCAAAAATAGGGAGGGGGGCTTTTACGCCTCGCTAATCCTGATTATTATAATAAACGGAAAGACATGGAGAAGGACAAATACATTTGTCATGATAATCCAGCAAAAGCAGACGTCACTCTTGATTTTTTTTTGTTATTTTTATTCTCTTTGTCCATCATGAAAAGCGCATCTGATGTTTGCGCGCTCCCAATAAGAGATTTCATTTAATGCAAGACATTTCACGCATTTTCACATGATTGGATGTTTAAATAACTTATTTTTAAAGGAAAATGAGACGAAAGGAAAGAAAAGCGCAGGAGGTAACTGAGCGCTCGTCGCCTTCTCATAGTGCTTTTTTGTTGTAAAAAGTAGATTATTAGATATTATATGCACACTAATATAATGTGCAAACTGAAAGAACTTATTTGTTTTAAATACCTTATTGAGGCGGAATCGGGAGTTCCCATAAGCATGATCCGTGACTTTCCGTCGTTCCTCAGCGGCGCGGCACGGCGCGGACCTTCCCTTTTCCTCTCTTTCCGCAAATTCAATTTTTTTCTTTTTGTTTGTGATCAGAAACAATCCTTAAGATCCGCAGGAATCACCGGAAGAAGTCGAGGAAGTGTCTTGGAGTGGTGTTGATCTGCGCTTCAATTAAAAGACGGGGACGTGATCTATCCACACATCCATCTGCCCGTCCATCCTCGCCGAGGAGTTAGTTGCGCAGCGTGGAGCGGGTGGGGTGGGCTGGCGCGCGCGCGAGCGGGTATGTGTGAGTGGGTGGGTGCGCTGGAGCTCTGTGGAAGATCTGACACCAATAGGAACTTGGCCCAGGACCTGAGAGCCCTCACACGTGACCTGGTGTCCGGAGAGGAGCGATGTTCACCAGGGAGACGCACGCACACGCGCGCTCAGGCGCGCACGAGGAAAATGAAGAATTGAGCAAATGGAGAGCGCACATTAGCACTAAATGCATTTATTAGACAAAATCCTGCAATTAATAATAATAATAATAATAATAATAATAATAATAATAATAATAATAATTGTCCACGTGGGCTGTTTTTCAAACCTTGAATTTGTATCTAAAAAATCTCGTTATTTCAGGGTTTTTGGGGGAAATCCAAATGCATTTTTGCAAAACTGTTATTTTAACTCCAAGCAGTGGCTTTAGTAACTATATTATTCTGCTACGTCACACAAATGATTGCCAACACAATTCCTCCATCATTCCAGCTTTCAGAGAGGCAAGGCACACCCAGACAGGTGACATATAGACATTTATGCACACTCACACCTAAAGTCAGCTTAAATCCTTCATTACCAACAGGCGTGTGTTTGAAAAACATGATTACAAGGAGGAAACTCATTTAGAGGACATGCAACCCCTCTCAGAAAGGCTCCAGAGGAGGGCGTTCTTGTTGTGAGACATAAAGGATTAGATCAGTCGCTGCTTTTCATGCCAGGATTTAAAAAATAACATAATTTTAGGAAGATTATATGTGTGTGGTGAGGAAACCAAAATTATCTCAATACCTGCACATGCTCATTTCAATAAGCTGTTGAATTCATCTACTCTGGTTGACTTCGAAGAGTTACAGATGTACGTCTGATGATCAATAAATTCTCACTAAAATATTTCCAGTGGGGTGTTTTACAGGGACAGATGCACTCAAACAGACAAAACTGTTATAATCCACATTTTACAGGTTATAGAAACCCGTTCTGATTAGAGGTGCACCGATTGCAGTTTTTGACAGATCACTGGTCTTTTCACCGATTTTTGCCAATACCGATTTTGTCTTAACCTCCTGAAACCTGAACCCGAATTTGATGTGATTTAAAAGAAAAAAATATATCTAACTATTACAGAGTAGTCTACTCTCATTAACGGAAACAAATCTACAAATATCAAAATTTAATTAAAATTTTATTAAATAAAAAATTTGTCAAATTTCCTGTAAAAAAAGAAAGAAAACAAAACATTTTAAATCAGTTTCAATGTCATGTGTCTATAAATAATAACAAAAAGGTCTGAGGTGGAGATGATAACATTTTAAAAGTCAAGGAGCCAATGTCCACATATGTGGACACAGGGTCCGAGGTTAACTAAATAAACATGATATTAATCTTTCAATTTCCTTTTCCTGAGAAAACCAATATGAAAGCTCACGAAACAACACCAGTTTCAACTGGACATTAGGTAATGTTCTCAAATATAAACAAACACGTTCAGCACTGCTGTTTGAACTACAAAATCGTATTTGTTCCTTTAGACTTTCATTTTCCTAATTTTGAAAACAAAACTTTTGTACCTGTTTTGACACCCAAAAATTATTCTATAACGCTGATTTGCTTTCAAATGAACCAAGGGTGCACTGACTGTGTCACCAATCTTGAAAAAGACCAGAGATCGGGGCCGATAGATCAGTGCACTCCTAGTTCTGATTAATCATATTTCTGTTGATATGAAGTCATTTTTATATAATAAATAAAAAGCCATAAAGTTATAAAGCTCTAATTTCATTTATGCTCAGGTTGCCTTGATTGGGACTCTTTGCCTCTGAATCGATCAATGCTTTTTAGTCACTTCTGTGATTTCATCATTTTGTTCTCGGAAAGCTTCAGGACATCGGGACTCTGAGGACACCTAAACTCATCTAAATCAGCTATTATTGCTACTTTTGTTGTAAAATCCTCCATTATTAGCGACGTCCCGTGCCGTGTGCATGTTTGTGCATTTCCATTTATTTTCAGCTGTGTGCAAAAGCCAAGACAGCGCTGACAGATCGAGCTCTGCACCACCCACCCCTTTGACACCTGTCTCTCTCCCCCACTGGTCTCTCTGCTGCTCCTGCTCCTTGTTCAGACACAGTCGGAGTCCTATCCTCATTACAGTTGGGCTTGGCCCCAAAATGTCTCCCAGGAGGCTTTAGGTGTCACGCCCTGCTCAGCTGCTATAGCCACCTCCTTCTACTCATCTACTCATGTTGGATGGGATGCATCCAGATAAGATCTAGATACTTTATTACAAATTCATCCACCCAAAGCGCATGGTCCCCAACTTCACAAAGAGAAAATGTTGGGAGGAAACAAAGGTTTGTTTGTTTAGACCTCATGCGTGTCCCAACTAGTCCTAACCAGCATCGAATGTTTCTCACAATCAATCAATCCTCTAGAAATCTCTGCCTTTCATTCCCCGGTCACACTGAACACTTCCCCACCCCCACCCAATCCCATCATGCCCCATCTTTGACTCCCATGCTTTCATCATCCAGCCTTTTCCTACTGCCTCTCCTCATCACGTTCCCATCGCACGTCCGTCCATCCTGCCTAGTGGGATTTCTCGAGTGACACGGGATGGGAATCGGCTCCATGTGCAATGAAACGCATCTTATTAGTAATTGTGCAACATAAAGTCACTTGCGTGTACTGGGACATTGCACTTTGTGACACACGAAGTATTCTACAAATCTAAAACTACAATTTCACCTTTTTGCCCCAAACAACCAAAACTGTTATTGTTTTCTTACTTTGATTCTGTCTTAATTTGCCCCTCCCCCTCTTGACGTTGCTGGCTGAAGTCTACTATAAGAACAGACCGACCCTGCACACACCAGCTGTAGAAATGTACACAAATGTGCACATTGCAGATATCTGATGAAGTCCAACTGAAGGTTAGACGTATTAATGAAAAAATAAATAAATAAAAAGCCAGACTTTAGCTGGATTTCTCATCTCCCTGCAGAGCTGCATGCCAAAGTAATCATTGTAATTAGGGTATGGGAGAGGGAAAGAAATACTGGTGCATTCACAAACACTTTGAGAAAAGAGGAAGCAGTTGCATAATCTTGCACAAACATCAGCGTACGTGCGCGCATGCACATGCATACACACACACACACACACACACACACACATACAATTTGCAGGAGCAAAGCTTTACGAGTAAATCTGCCATGATACATTCAGCTCAGGCAGCTTTCCAGCTCAGACATACATGAGTCCTTTTGAAGGATACCAGTGTCCATCACTGTGGTAGACACACACACAAAAAATTAAATGATCTGGCCTCCAACCCTAAAAATGTCAATATGTGACCTCGGCAGCATGCGTCCAAAAAAGTCTGTGGTTTATTTTCTGTTCTGTTTATCTCATCTATGGAAATTTCACAGGTAATGACATACTTACTTTTACTAGTTAAGCAACTGGAAATCTGCGCATGACTTTAATTTAGAAAATTTCCCAATATTTTTCCACTGCTTTTGTGTTTCAGTCGCTGTCTGGCTCAATATGAACTGCTGAGCTTGATGCATTCTGGGAGTGTGCTACAATAAAAATGGACTGAAAGATTAAGTGACGTGAACCTACGCTTCTGGGCCACTTCTGAAACATCACAGTTTGCATCTGGTGGAAAGGCACCCATCTACTATAACGGTAGCTAATTGCTGCATACCGACGTTACATGTTTGATGGAAGGGCCCATGTTCAAGAAGCGTAGCACGTAAAGACGTTCTTGAAGCGTACATTTAGTGGAGCACAGCGACACTGTGCTTCTGGAAAGCGTCCAAAACATGACTCTTCACTGTTGGAGGAAATGCACCCAACTATTATACCGGTAACTAATTGCTTAGTAGTACATTTTGCGGACACTATGGGATATTTACCCCTTCTTTCCAACTGGAAGCAATTCTGACACGAAACAGAAGCAAAAGCGTTCCATACAGCCAAGGGCGTCAGTTTGTTTTCAGAATTGCTGGGGACAATAACCATACACTTGAGTGGGGTTTAAAAATTGCTGGGGACAATAAAGTAGGCTAGCACAGGGGTCGGCGGCTCTGTAGCCGCATGCGGCTCTTCCATCCATCTGATGCTCTGTGCTTGTAAAATAATGAATGGATATTTAAATAAAATGCTTTATATTTTACTGCATTAATTTTACATCTGTATGCTAATTCTAAATGTAAAGATTGTCTGCGTAAACCTGAACAGGTCCAACCCGGTCCACTGTGAGACCGGGTTGACGCGTCACGCTTGTGCGTAATTAAATGCGCTTCCTGAGCTGAAGAGAATGTGAGATTCTGGGATTCTCCTCAGACGGCTCCTGGATGTGTCGCCACATTGGAGACAGGAACAAGCGCTATTCAGCCAAAGTTTCATAATCAGGGAACATTTTCTAAGTGACAAGTCTCTGAGAGACTGGGTTTGGAAAACACTCGCTTCAGTGGGAGGAACCTTCCCGCATGCGTTCTGGTTCTGAGAACCTGGATTTGTATTCTGAACAGTCTAAACATGTTTTAAAAAGAAACGTATGACAAAAGTGGCACCTGCTCAGTAAAACCACCAACAGGGTGAAAAATATCAAAATATTGTAGGCAGAGACGGGCTACAACTTCTGGATCCACTTTATATAAATCGTTTTATTGAATATCTTCTTATGAAAGATAACTTTGACGTACACGAGCGACCAGGCGCGTTGCAAGATTTTCAAAAGTGTGGGAGATGTTGTCTGTGCCTAAAATAATTTCATGTTATTCATCTTGTTAGTTTAATTTCCATAATAGTGGAGCAGGTGCGAATTTTAGACGCGTCACGCACGTCTCCGTTTTAAACATGTTTAAACTGTTCAGAATACAAATCCAGGCTCTGTCTCGTTAGATTGGTGTAACTAAAGTTTGTACTGAATGAAACTTTACGTAAAACCATGTTGAAGAGAAAAGGATCCGATTAAATCATTTCCCCTCATTTACAGTCACGACGTACAGCCCAGTGCGCGTGGCTCTGGGGTTAATCAAGTTTAGTTTTTTCTCTTTGCAACAATCTTCACAAGAAGGCAAAACAGTTAAATGGCAGGTTACAGATATTTATATTAGACTTTTATTTTGACGGATAAACTCAAGGATGCTGGCTGTTTTGAAAGAATTACCCCGACGCA